CGTGTGTGTGTGTGTGTGTGTGTGTGTGTGTGTGTGTGTGTGTGTGTGTGTGTGTGTGTGTGTGTGTGGAACCTTCTCGCAGACGACAGGTCCCAAAGGTGTCTCAATGACAGACACTTTCTATTCACTTTTTTTTTTGACTTCCTGTGAGGCAACTGCTGTTACTCTCCCCCTCCCCCTTTTCCTTTCTCCCTTTTCCACTCTACTTCGTCGCCTTTACAGCTTGTTTTGGATACCCGGACCAGGCAGGTTTTAATGAAAGCTAATCCTTTTTTGCAAAGTTCCTACACCTTGGGGATTCCGTTTTGGCAGCGTGCACGTAGGGTAATTTAGGCACTCGTGTGCAAGTTTGTGAGTTACACACTGCGTTCACCACCCCACCCATATACACACAAACACACAAGAACAATGAGGAAAAAAAAACAATAAGCGATGTATGTCAAACCTAGCGAAAGGGCCAGCATCGCTATTCGTGCGAGAGAGAGAGAAGGAGGCAAGAGGACCACCATGGGTGAGGCCTGTTGTATATATATATATATAGTAGGGACTGAAGACACGGAAAACACAAACACAAATAAACCAACACCTATAAGGAGAAAAAAACAAAAACAAAAACAAATACAGAAGACTACATATGGTATACAAAAAGAGATCAAGAGCTCAAAGTATTTCCAAAACAGACGAATGATTCTTTGATTTCTCAAAAAGTCGCTTCCGCGTCATGGGCGGCGTCCCATCAGTGTGCGTCACTGAAGCAGTGAGGAGTTCTTCAGCCTCGCGCCGTCCACGTACTTTATTGCCATCTACGCTCTCAATGCTAATACGCCATACCGTCGTAGCGCCCGGTGGAACGCTTTCTTTCCCAGCATCGCCGTATGCCTCATCTGGAGGGCATACTATGGCCCACTTATCACCTGTGCACATCAGCGGCACGATTTTTTGCAGGCACGAAACACATCTATCCAGTTTATACTCTACCGCACCCGCTCCAGAGGCATACGTTGAGGTAAAACGGACACCGTTGGAAAGAAATCCCACATTATGAAAGTGCAATGACCCCCCTTCACTAACGCACCGCATTTTACTTCTCAGCTCCCGCCACTTGTCGTCTGGCTCGTCGTCGTCGCCACGCCAACGATTGTCGTCATCCACCTCGGGGAGACCAATCTTGATCTTAAACTCCACGGGCGTGGTTCCAGGAATCGGCACCTTTCGCGTGAGAGCACGGAAGTAGATGCGTCTCTCTTTGTAGCGGGTAAAGCTGGGATCCAGTGAGACGTTTGCAAGAAGCTCGTCTCCCTCCCGTGACCAGCGCTCAATCAGATACTCGGTATACCTCGTCTGTAACAAATCACGGTCCATAAAATCCATGTATGCGTCGTACTTCCACTTCCCAACAGCAAGAAGCAATACAAGCGCGGCAAACCACACCGCGTAACTTTCCGTCAGGCCGTTGAGCCAAGAAGCAGATGGCGGTGCAACGTGTTTGGGATCTGTCGTAGCATCCCGCGGTGCCATTGTTGCAGTCTCCGGCTGCTCCTCGGCTCGTAGACTCCCGCCCCCCGTCACAGAACTGACCGTGTCGCGACACTCTGCGGAGTTAGAGCACATGCGTACCACGCAGTCGTGCAATACGGGAGCCACACGGACGATAGTCGCTATTAGCTTTGGGTTTTTGTATATATTTATTTTCTACTTCCTTTCTCTTTTCCTTCTTTTTCTCGTTGAAACCGCAGCGCACCGAAAAAGACGGGAAAAAGAGAAAAGGCAGCAGAATTAGCACGCAGGGGGGGGGGGGGGGGTAACAG